CTGCCCAGAGGTGGCACGCAGACTTTTCCAAGTATGGGGAACTCCCCCGGTGGACCTGTTCGCCACTTTGCAGTTCCAACGCCGCCCCGGTTCTGTTCCGCGGGAGCTGGGACGGGGCGCTATCTCCGATGCCTTCCTCCTGTCCTGGTTAAGCCAGTTTCTCTATGCCTTTCCCCTGTTCCCGCTGATCAGAAAGGTCCTGAAAAAGATAGACTGACAAGGCCCGGGTCCTTCTGATTGCCCCGGCATGGCCCAGGCAGCATTGGTACGGGACTTCCTCTCTGAGGACCAGGGCTGCCTCCTCCACCCCAACTTAGCGGCACTCCACCTCACGGCGTGGCTGCTCAATGGTTAGATAGGGAGGAAAGGACATGCTTGGAAGGGGTTCAGCATGTCCTAGAAAGCAGGTGGCCCTCCACGCGCTGAGCCTACTTGGAAAAGTGGTCTAGGTTTTCCAGATGGGCAGACGAGAAGGGCATTTCCCCAGTGGCCGCTCCGATCCAGCATATTCTGGACTACCTCCTTCACCTTCGAGCCCAGGGCCTGGCGCCCTTGTCAGTCAAGGTGCAGCTGGCGGCCATATCGGCCTTCCATCCGCCGGTGCAAGGCCACACGGTATTCTCCCATGCTATGACTGGCCAATTCCTTAAGGGGTTGGATCGCCTCTTCCTGTATGTTAGGCCCCCTGTCCTGCAGTGGGACTTAAACCTGGTGTTGGCCCATCTCATGGGGCCCCCATTTGAGCCGCTAGCCACGTGTTCCTGGTCAAACCTCCCTGGTTTGCGATCACGTCGGCTAGGCGGGTCTTGGAACTCAGGGCCCTGACCTCCGAGCCCTCGTACACGGTGTTTCATAACGATAAGGTCCTGCTCCTCCCACACCCTTCGTTCCGCTCAAAGGTGGTCTCCGCCTATCACATGGGTCAGGACATTTTTCTGCTGGTCCTCTGCCCCAAGCCCCATACGTCCAGTGAGAAGCGCTGCCTCCAGACCCTGGATGTGAGATGGGCTCTGGCTTTCCACCTGGAGCAGACTAAGCAATTCAAGAAAAAAGAACAGGAGTACTTGTGGCACCTTAGAGACTAACAAATTTATTAGAGCATAAGCTTTCGTGGGCTACAGCCCACTTCTTCGGATGCATATAGAATGGAACATATATTGAGGAGATATATATACACACATACAGAGAGCATGAACAGATGGGAGTTGTCTTACCAACTCTGAGAGGCCAATTAAGTAAGTGGAAAAAAAACTTTTGAAGTGATAATCAAGATAGCCCAGTACAGACAGTTTGATAAGAAGTGTGAGAATACTTATAAGGGGAGATAGATTCAATGTTTGCAATGGCTCAGCCATTGCCAGTCCTTATTCAATCCTAAATTGATTGTAGCGATTCAGAAAATCCTCGCAACTGTTCATCACCTCGGCCGAGCGCATAAAAGGTTGGCCGATCTCCACTCAGCCGATTTCCAACTGGATCACCTTGTGCATCCGTACCTGTTATGACCTGGCAGGAATACCACCAATTGTGAAGGCGCACTCGACTCGGGTGCAGACCTTGTCGGCTGCCTTTTTGGCCCATGTCCCCATTCAGCACATTTGTAGGGCTGCCACGTGGTCTTCAGTTCACTCATTCACCTCGCAGACCAGGGAGGACGCCGGGTTCGGAAGGGCCATTCTCCGTCCTGAGAGTTTGTGAACTCCTTCCCACCTCAAACATATATAGCTTGGAATCACCTACCGTGGAATACACATGAACAATCACTCGAAGAAGAAAAGACAGTTACCTTTTCCGTAACTGGTGCTCTTCGACATGTGTTGTTCTTGTCTATTCCACATCCCGCCCTCCTTCCCCTCTGCCGGAGTTGTCTGGCAAGAAGGAACTGAGGGTGGGGGGAGTGCGCAGCGCCCCTTATACCACATCATGGAGGTGCCACTCCAGGGGTTGCTGGGGCGCTCCCCTACGGGTACTGCTGGGGGAAAAACTTCCGGCACCGGTGCACGTGGCGAGCACGCACACCTATTGTGGAATAGACATGAGCAACACATCTCGAAGAAAACCCGTTACAGAAAAGGTAACTGTCTTTTTCACCACCACAGCCATCCTTATCTCATTAGTAAACAAATTCTTGCGGTAACACTGGTCTACAATTTTTGAGAAGTCGTCTGCTTCAGAGATAAAAATGTGCTATTTATTATGTATTTTAATGTGCTGAATTCAAATATGACAAAACAACTGATTGGCTACTGTTTCTAATATATTTAAGTTTTTACATTTTATGTCTATGTATATTGTGTAGATAGTAGAGTTTTAATCATAAATTGTAAACCTAGATCTTTTCATATGTTTATGGCTGCTTTACATGGTAATATTTCACCTGTCCTGTTTTTGCTGATTTTTAAAATGTTACATAAGGGTTATATAAATAAAATTTATTATGAAACAAAAGGCAAAAAACTATTATGTACATAGTTTAGTCCTATTCAGTGTCTACTCGGCGCTTCTTGGCTTGTCTCTTGTATTCATTAAATGGAGCATCCCTTGTCACTGTCCAGCAATAGTCTGCAAGCATTGATGGGCTCCATTTGCCCTGATAGCGTTTCTCCATTGTTGCAATGTCCTGGTGAAATCGCTCGCCATGCTCGTCGCTCACTGCTCCACAGTTCGGTGGAAAAAAATCTAGATGAGAGTGCAAAAAATGTATCTTTAGTGACATGTTGCAACCAAGGCTTTTGTATGCCTTGAGGAGGTTTTCCACCAATAACCTGTAGTTGTCTGCCTTGTTGTTTCCGAGAAAATTTATTGCCACTAACTGGAAGGCTTTCCATGCCGTCTTTTCCTTGCCACGCAGTGCATGGTCAAATGCATCATCTCGAAGAAGTTCACGAATCTGAGGACCAACAAAGACACCTTCCTTTATCTTAGCTTCACTTAACCTTGGAAATTTTCCACGGAGGTACTTGAAAGCTGCTTGTGTTTTGTCAATGGCCTTGACAAAGTCCTTCATCAGACCCAGCTTGATGTGTAAGGGTGGTAACAAAATCTTCCTTGATTCAACAAGTGGTGGATGCTGAACACTTTTCCTCCCAGGCTCCAATGACTGTTGGAGTGGCCAATCTTTCTTGATGTAGTGGGAATCCCTTGCATAACTATCCCATTCGCAGAGAAAACAGCAGTACTTTGTGTATCCAGTCTGCAGACCAAGGAACAAGAGAGCAACAACCTTGAAATCGCCACAAAGCTGCCACTGATGTTGGTCATAGTTTATGCATCTCAAAAGTTGTTTCATGTTGTCATAGGTGTCCTTCATATGGACTGCATTTCCAACTGTAATGGATGGGAAAACATTGCCATTAT